GGGGGGGGGGGGGGGTGGGGGGGGACTTGACAATTAATAGGGAGCTGTCACCTCTGTATCCTGTGTCATCATGTGACAAGAGGTGGGGCTCCCTGGGCTGGAATGGGTCCTGGTGCCAACCAGTATCTCTTGAGTAACTGACTCATGGAACTGACTCACCCATTTAAATATAGATGTAACTTCTGGCCTGTTTCCCCCTCCCCCACCTTTTATCATATTGTGCACAGCAATGAGCTCAGGGAAGAGGGAAGCAAGCAGCCATCGACCAAGTGCTAAATCAAACGGGAAACAGACTTACATCAGGGGATTAGGTGCTGTCCGCTCCTGCCCCCTCCCTCACCATGTTCCTCCCCGAGCAGCACTGATCCCCTCACCTCGCACCAGAAGCCGGGCTGAGGGAGAGCAGTCATCCACATGCAACAGGAATCTGAGATCTGGGATGGGATCATCTCATGCAAGATCTCTGGCCCTCTTATCATTCCAGTTAGTCATATAGCAATGTAAGTTAGCCATGGCCAGCTCCTTAGGGACTCCAATTCATAGTCCCTCCCTCCCTCCCTCCCTTCCTTCTTTCCTTCCTTCCTCCCCAAGCTTCCACCCGGGCCAGGTGCTGTGCCAGGAGCAAAACAGTCCCTTCCTAAAGGAGTTCTCAGGATGTGACATCCATTACCCAAACCTCCCCTCTCCCAGCTGCCCTGTGCAATCGGCAGCCCTTGCCCCCCTCGCTGACCAGCAGCTGGCCACCAACAGGCCCAGAGAAGCTCAAAGGTGACCTGGATCAGAGGGCAGGGGGGAGGCAGGTGGGGGTCACCTGAAGAGGAAGCTCTGCCCTGTTTTCTGGAAAGGACCTACTGCGCGCGCATCCATTCAAGGGGGCAATGCCCCAAGACCACAAGCTGCAAAATGCATGTAATGTGAACTGGCAAGGGTGTTTGGTTGTCAGTCATAGAAGGTCCTGGGAGATGGCTTAACACTAGGAGGCAGGGAGGCCGATGAGGATGGACAGGGCTGCCACTGGGCCGCAGGAATGGATCAGAACCAGGGCTTATCATCTCATCTCAGCAGCTGGCGTGGCGGCCTCATTCTTGTCTCTTCTGCACACTGGATTTTCCCGTTTCTCGGAATGGAAAGTGGGGCAGCAGTAGGCTGGAGCCTGTTCCAGGGCCAGCCCAGCTTGGGTCTAGCGCCTGTAAAAGGTGACAACCAGGTGGCCTGACAGAGGGGCTGGAGGCCGGGAGAACCTCATCAGCCATCTGCTGGAATGAGTTTGGGTTTGCAAGGCCAGCCGCTGAGGCTGTTCTGTATCCTTCCATGGACCAGAGTTGCAACAGGATGAGCTACGAGGGAGTGGGCACAGCTCCGGCCTCACTGTAGCAGGTGATGCGGGTGTCCCCCCCCCTCCCCCATGGCATTCACCTTTCTCGTGCACCCACCTTGATGGATTCCAACTGCAAGTACCTGCAACTCTGCGGGAGGGAGTCTGTAGATAAATTCCCCAGCTCCTGCCCCTGGCAGACAGACCTGCAGGGCACACACTGAACTCCCAACCCCCCTCAGGGGGACTGGGCCCCAGTGGCCCGGGGCAGGGACCTATTGGATTATACACCAGGACTGGCTGCCCTTCCTCTGTCTGGCTTCCCATCACCCCTAATGATGCTTTCTGGGATGACAGCAGGGCTTTGTACCCTGAAATCTTGGTCTCTGGGTCAGCGGCTGGGGACCCAACCCACGACCCTTGTAGTCCAAACAGCTAGCTGAGGAGCCTTTGAGAAATAAGAGCACACGTTTTTCTATTCAATTCTGCCTTTTTCTCCAAAAAATAGAGCTCTTTATTTAAAACAGGATACTAAAAAGCATTAAGATGTTATTTAAATATAAACATAGAAAATTAGAAATAAATACAAAAATCCAAGAATAATATATAAGCTCAGTACAGGTGACCCTTGAACAACACAAGTTTGAACAGCATGGGTCCATTTACACAGATTTTTTTTCCCCAATAAATACAATTGTGAGTCCGCAAAACACAGAATTTGTTCTTGTATTATTATTTATTGCATTGCCACAGTAAACCTACTTTTGCCCACCCCTGTATACAATCGGCCCTCCGTATCCCTGGGTTTTGCAACCACAGATTCAACCAAACCTGGACGGAAAACAATATTTTCGATCCATGGTTGGGAATTCACGGATGCGGAGGGCCGACCATATGCACTGTTCTACGCCATTTATTATAAGGGGTTAGAACATGTGTGGATTTTGGTATCCGTGTGTGTGTGTGTGGGGGGGTGTCCTGGAACCAATCCCCCACGGATTCTGAGGTATGACTGAAGTTTTGGGGGATTCACTTCTTCAAGAGCCAAGGCTGGCATGTCAACCCATGAACCAGGAGGTCACAGTTGATTCCTGGTCAGGGCACATGCCAGGTTGCAGGCTCGATCCCCAGTAGGGGGCGTGCAGGAGGCAGCCAATCAATGATTCTCTCTCATCATTGATGTTACTCTCTCCCTGCCTCTTCCTTCCTCTCTGAAATCAATAAAGAAATATATTTATTAAAAAATGAATGACATGGTCAATATATACTTTTAAAAAAGTAACTGTGCTCTGAAGGATGGTAATGCTGCTCTCACCCGAGGCGTCGGCGTTCTTTGGCTGCTGCCCCTTGAGCGAGGCCCTGGACTGTGTATGGGAAAGGGCTTTGCAAACAGTGAAGTGCTGAGCACACCTGACAGGTTAGTATATTGTTTATCATGCTCTTTCCTAATGATTCCCACAGTTTTTAATGATTTAATGACTAAAAGGAGCTGACATTTAGAATTACTAAAAAACTCAGCTTATCTCTGAAATTAAACTTTGAGAAAAAAAAAAGCTTAAAAAACAAGGTTTAATAATGGAGATAAAGTAATTCCTACACCAGAGTGATCATAGCTCTTAGTTTTTTTAAAAAAACAAAACACTTCATGAAGTTTTCCTTCATGAAGCGGCTCCACTGGGTTGGAAGAACATCAGAATTGATCGAGATTAAAAATGGCGGCGGAGTAAGTGGACCAAACTGGAAATATAACTAAACTACAGAAAAGCCAAGGACAGAAAGAGGAGACCGCATAGAGAGTGACAGGAGGGGCGGAGAAGCGAGAGGGCTGGCCGGGCGCCCACAGACAGCAGCTGAAGTTCCGGGGGGATGTCTCAGCTGTGGGGGGCTCCCACTGAGAACGCTGGGGTCTAAGCCCCAAGCTGGGCTCCCCAGCCCAGAGCATCTGAACTGAGAAAGGTGCCCACATAACACCTGGCTGTGAAAGGCGACTGGAAATGCAGGCACCCTCTTAAGACTCTGAGAATAACAATCAGACTGCAAACAGAGGAGGATGTCCGGAGGCTTTGAGTCTTTGCCTGATCTCCTTCGGGGCCCGGGGCTAGGAAAAGCAGGCCCTGGTGCACATCTCGGTCCTTTCCAAAGGCACCGGCCCCAGCAGAGGGAGCCACAGGCTGTGGATTGCTGATAGCTCCAAACAGGGGACTCAGGGCCAGTCACAAACAGCATCTGACATTGTCCTGCACTAGAGACAGGGAGTCATAGCAGATCCACCTAATACACAGACACAAACCCAAACAGGCAGCCAAAATGGGGAGACAAAAAATCAACCCCCAAATGAAAGAACAAGAGCATTCTCCAGAAGAGCTAAACGAAATGGAGCTAAGAAATGTATCAGATGTAGAGTTTAGAATAATGATGGCGGAGATGCTCAACAGCATGAGAAAAGATATGGTAACTACGGAAAAAGACCAGTCGGAAATAAAGAATGACAGAGCGCTAATAAAGAACACGCTGGAAGGAACATACAGCAGATGAGGGGAAGCCGGGGATCGGATCAGTGAATCAGGAAGAACGTCAGCCTTAGTCTGGGCATTTGCCTGGGACCTGGCCCTGAGTCCAGCCTCGCCCAGCAACAGGGCTTCAGTTTACTCTCCCCTCTCTGTGCTCAGTGCGGTGGACAAGCCTCCACTCCACAGAAATGCACAGACGTGTGCATGCGTGTGTGTATGTGGGCGAGTCTCAGCAGTGAAGGCCTCCTGCCAGCTTCGTGCCCCTTGGAAATCCTGGCTGTGACCTCAGCACTTTGCTGACATGGCCAAGATAACAGGGGTTGGACCAGCTGGCCAGACACCAAAGATCTCATCCTTAGGGACAAACGCAGTAAGTCAACATTTCAGCTTCTTCTAGCAAAATCTTGTTCCCTCTGGGTGAATACTCAGCCATGCTCATCCATATACTGGTGGGTGTCGGTTAACAAAGTCAACACCCACCACGACCAGTAACAACCTGTTTCCAGAAGGTTCTCCATAACTAGCAGGAAGATGGGACTTGTTATAACCACAATGGTCACCAAAGTGCTGTCCGCAACAGGGATCACAGCCCACGAGGCCAACTCCCTGCCAGGTTGCTGCCCCACCCCAACAAATCAGACCCCCTGGAAGATGGACCACTTGGCTTTTTACTGGGCAGAGGGAGGTCCCCCTTGGCTGGCTTCTGGCTTCTGAGAACTCCATTCCCTGACGGTGGAGACAGTGAAGGTAGAAGACATGAGGTAGATGAGAGGTTGGACAAGCTAAGAGGTGAATGCTCCCAGGTGCTCTGAGTCCAAGAGTCACAGGTGGGAGGTGCCCAGAGGTCTCCTCAGAGCCTGGGCAGATGGGGAGTCCTCCCAGCCACCAAGAAGAGAGCGCGCCACCGCGTCGCACACCTCGCTCTCAGGACCCCCCCCACCCCCCCACGCCCCAGTTGGGAGTCGTAGATGAGGAACCCAGGCGCCACCGCGTCGCACACCTCGCTCTCAGGACCCCCCCCCGCCCCAGGTGGGAGTCATAGATGAGGAATCCAGGAGAAGGAGAGCGGCTTACTCAAGGGCACACAACCAGGAAGTGGCAGAACCGGGATCTGGACCCGGGTCTGCCCGACGGTAAGCCTAGAGCATTCTCCACAGCTGGAGCCTGGGATGTGAATGACGGCCGCCCTTTCCCTTCCCCTCCAGCACCCTCTGCTAACTAGACTTTTCCTCTTGGGGGCCCGCCCCAGGGGGAACTCATGAGTCAGGAGGCCAAGCCTCGGGGAGGAAGGCGCCAGAGGAAGGCAGGAGGCTCTGACACAGCTGAGCCTCCGAATGTCCTCTCCCGAGCCCAGATGGCCCTGGTGGTGTCAGCCCTTGATGCCAGTGACCTGGTCTCACCTGTTTCGTGTTGTCCAGGGACAGGGGGTGACCTGAGCTGAGCCCATCCTTTTCTCCAGTCCTCTTGTGGCTCAGCCCAGGGCGGGTGGGCCACAGGATGGAGTGGCTTCTTACTGCTCAAGCCAACTGACAGCCTCTAGCTGGGGTTCTGGAAGCGCTGCAAGAACCATGGCTGCCCCAGGACCATGCTCCCAGGCCTCGTCTCTGTGGCGTCTTGGGCCCCTGGGAAGCTCAGTAGCACCGGATTCGGCAGGAAGCTCACCTGGCCATGTAATGCCCCAGCGTCCTACTCCTGGCTCCGGTCCTCTGGAGGCTGTCGGCCACCCAGCTTCCAGCACCACTGTCCTCAATTTCTGATTCCTCTCCATCCTCTTCCTCCTCTTCCTCCTCCTCCTCCTCCTCAGCATTGCTGTCCCAGGCGATGGTCAGTGTCCGAAGAGAAACTGGAGGCTCCCCGGGGACCAGATCCGGCCTCGGTGAGGAGGAGCCCCAGCTGGCCCAGGAGATGCTGTTTCTCTGGAGCTCTTCCAGAGAACCCAAGTCCTTGGAGAATTCGGGGACTGGGAGAGGCTCCAGACACCTGCTCCTACCCAGCCCTCGGCCTGGCCCCTTCTTGGCCAAATAGCCAGAGGACCCAGCCTCCTCCAGGAGGGAGGAGCCGCCAGTGCTGGCCCAGCTTCTGTCTGAAGCATCGCAAGCAGGACAGCCTTCGACCTGGACCCCTGCCTCCGAGTGCCCGGAGGTCTGGTGCTCCTGCTCCAGGAAACCGCGGGGCACAATGTAGGGCTGGACGGTGACATTGTTGTCTGCGTCGTCCTCCTCGTCATCGTCGTCCTCTGATCCGGCCTGAATGGTGGCTGGGGCCCTGACTCTAGGGGTCAGTCTGACCCTTCTGGTCAGTTCCTTTTGGGGACAGAGGGTCAAGTCCTCCAGGGACTCTGGGCCACTGGGCTGAAAGGTTGCCACGGGGTATCTGTGTCCAGAAAAGTCCTGATTTGGGGCAGGGGAGACAAGAGCAGAAGGTCAGGCTTTCCCGAAGCATGACTGCTCTAACCGGGATGGACCCTGAGACAAGGATGCCCATGGACATCGTTTCTCTGGGAAGAGATCCCAGGAAAGGCCAACAGGGAGTGAGCATGGGAGACAGGGGTGGGATAACACCCACTAAGATGGGTGCTACCAGGCAAGTGACATCTAAGGCAGCTGCAGCTTAACCCTGCTGGGACTCAGGCAGCCAGTGCAGTGCCATGAGGTGAGGGTGGGAGGGGTGGAGGCAGTGCCACCTCCCTGGCACTTGCGGCCTGCCACGTGCATGGGCTGGGTAGACACCAGAGGCGAGAGACAGCCCCCAGGATGCAGGTGCTAGCTGCTGGAAGGAACTTTAGAAATACTCCCTCCCTGCTCCGGCCGGCATGGCTCAGTGGTTAGAGCATTGGCTTGCACACCGGAGAGTCGCAGGTGCGATTCCTGGTGAGGGCACGTACCTGAGTTGCAGGTTCGATCCCCACCCCTAGTCAGGGCCCATGTGGGAGGCAACCAATTGATGTGTCTCTCTCACATCGATGTTTCTGTCTCTCTCTTTCTCCCTCCTCCCTCCCTTCCACTCTCTCTAAAAATCAATAGGAAAATATCCTTACTCCTCAGGTGAGGATTAAAAAAATAGTCTCTCCCACATGGTAGGGACACTCAGAATTCATCCTCAAAGCTCCCACCAGCCCAGTGCCCACTGAGCCTCACCTATGGCCCAGCTTCCTCGATGAGTCTGACCCACCTGACCTCTGCAGGCTTCCCCTGCCTCCGTGGCCTCCACATGCGAAGGGAGTGAGCCAGCAGACAGTGAGGGGACTCCAGGGTCGGCCTGGGCCAGACTCACCTGGGGTAGACTGTGAACTAGGCGTTGGGACCCTTCTAAGTCTTCCCCTTTTGGC